GCTGTTGGGTGTGGCCTATTATGCTAATGAGTTCCTGCTGGGCTTTTTCTACAAAAAAAGCCCTGGATACAAAGGACTGAACGCAGGGACTTTCTATGTGGAAAGCACACCCTTTAATCACCAGACCAAAGGTTCTGCTGTCCTGAAGCCATATCTCTGAGCAAGAGCTCTGAATATTCTCATTGCTCTAACTGCTTGGCTAAGGGACTTTGCACTGCATTCATCCGCTTGGGCGCAAGGACAGTAAAACATCTTTATGTTAAACCAGCAAGCAGTTAAGGATTCTAGCCCTGTTGCGTGCAAAGTACTCTCACCCTGGGCCATCCCTATATTTTAATCTTGGAGATCATTGCCAGATGCAAGGGGGAAGCATTAAGAAAATTTATGAACTTACTAAAGTGGAGCCACCCGTGCTCCGGCTTGCAGCAAAGTGTGGCACGCAGGTGCCTTTTTTATCAATTTAACGGTATTTAAAAGAGAGCGAGTTACCCAGGCCGTTTGTCTCAGCAACCAGAGGAACATTTTGGCCTGCTCGGATATTAACGCCCACAAGTTATGTGACAGAGCAGAGTGTCGGGGAAGAAGAACTGGAGGGCAGGTTAGCACTGAAAGCCCAGCAAAATCCAATTTCTTTTAAAATAATTTATTATGTACATAGAAAAAAAGGGCTATGATAGATTGCAAGAGGACATTTCTTTCAGCTGTTATACATTTTGGGCCGACAATTCCAATAATCAGCAAACAGGAGCCCCGTGAGTGCAAATTAAACGGAATATCCTAAAATGGATTGCCAGGCCTCCTGCTATGGCAGGAAGCCTTCTGCTGATAAGAACATAAGAGAAGCCATGTTGGATCAGGCCAATGGCCCATCCAGTCCAACCTTTCTGTCTCACAGTGGCCAAAACCCAGGTGCCATTGGGAGATCCACCAGTGGGGCCAGAACTCCAGAAGCCCTCCCACTTTTGCCCCCCAAGCACCAAGAATACAGAGGACCAATGCCTCAGACATAAGAGAAGCCATGTTGGATCAGGCCAATGGCCCATCCAGTCCAACACTCTGTGTCACACAGTGGCCAAAACCCAGGTGCCATCAGGAGGTCCACCAGTGAGGCCAGAACTCCAGAAGCCCTCCCTCTCTTGCCCCCCAAGCACCAAGAATACAGAGCATCACTCCATCTATACCTTGTGGCTAAGAGTCACTGATGGACCTCTGCTCCATATGTTGATCCAATCCCCTCTTGAAGCTGTCTGTGCTTGTAGCCGCCGCCACTTCCTGCGGTAGTGAATTCCACGTTAATGATTCTTTGGTCACTACCATTTGATAATTGCCATTGCCTGCCACTGCTCCAATAAAAATAGAACAAACCCTGCTGGCCTCTGCACTGGTATGGCACTTCCATTTACAACCCGGCAGTGGCAAAGGAAAGATCTACGAATCACTGAAAACTCTACGGTTTTATCATAGAGTTTCCAGTGATTCCTAGAGCTACCCATTGCCACTTCCAGGTTGTACCCAGAAGTGACATAGTGGCATCGCCAAAGTCAGCAATTTCACGTGGCCCCACCACCCAACCTTCCTGCTGGTTACCAGACTTGGCAACCCTAATTCCAAGGTGGTTCTTAAGTGGTTCTTGTTCGTCAGGTTGTCAGTGGCTGATTCTGCATCTGGCATTCGCTCCACATTTTCTCAACACTGAGGAAAAGGTGCAGCTCAAAACTACATTCGAAAACCTTAGGGCAATGCCGTACTCACTGCAAAGTCACCCCTGAATGGCCACAAATCTATGCAGAAGGTACCATAAAACCCGATGATCAAAGAAAATGAAAGCGGCATGCAATGCAGAAAGGAATGTCTGTTCCAACGTGGGTTTCTTAAAACAACGGAGGGAAAAGCCAGTGTCTGAGCGTGATTCTAGAGTAGCAAGGGGGGAGGGGAGGGGGAGGAAGAGGAGAGTTGGTTTATATACCCCGCCCTTCACTACTCAAAGGAGTCTCGGAGTGGCTTACAATCACCTTCCCTTCCTCTCCCCACAGCAGACACCCTATGAGCAATGTTACCTCTAAGCTGTGGAGTCTTGTGAGCAAAAATTCTACTTTGTGAGCTCCTGGCATTAAGGTTGTGAGTGAGCAATTTGGTTACTGCATAAATTAGTTTGCACTGGAGCCATCCTTCTTGAGCTAGGACAAAAATGTGTCAGCTGGAGGCTAAAAAATTGTGAGCTGGCTCACACTAACTCAGCTTAGAGGGAACACTGCCTATGAGGTAGGTGGGGCTGAGAGCAGTGTTCCCTCTAAGCCGAGCTGGCTCACAGTTTTTAGCCTCCAGCTCACACATTTTTGTCTTAGCTCAAGAAGGATGGCTCCAGAGAGCAAACTAATTTATGCAGCAACCAAATCGCTCGCTCAAAACTTTAATGCTAGTAGCTCACAAAAGTAGAACTTTTGCTCACAAGACTCCACAGCTTAGAAGGAGCATTGGCTGAGAGTGCTCTGAGAGAAGTGTGACTGGCCCCAGGTCACCCAGCTGGCTTCATGTGGAGGAGTTGAGAATCAAACCCGGTTCTCCAGATGAGAGTCCACACTTCTAACCACTACACCAAACTGGCTCTCCAGAGGGACAGTTCCTTTAATGTGTATAAGCCACAACAAATGCAAGAGAATCTCCACACCCAGAGGCAGTCAGCCCCTGAATATCAGTGCTGAGTCAACAGCAGAGCCTTGGTCTTCACCCCCCATTTGTTGGCTCACCGGGGCTCTTGGTTAGCCATTGTGTGAAAGAGGATGCTGGACTAGATGCACCACTGGTCTGATCCAGCATGGCACCTCTTATGTGCCTAAGCTATAGCCTAATCTACATTACAGGATAAAATGGAGGGAGTTCCGGTTTATGGTGGCGCGCTAGCAGACTCACCTCCCGGACCTCCCGGGGGTGAAGCTGCGCTCCAGCCAAAGAAGGGGATGCTCAGGCTCGCAAACCCCCCCCAGGGGCCCGGTGAAGGGTCCCTGGCCATGGAACCTTCAAGAGGTTGCCTCTTCGAGGGTGGAATGCCTGAGGATTGAGGCACCTCTTCATTCCCCCGGGCTGCCTTGCCTTTAGCTGCCAGCTCTGGGTTAGGAAATACCTGGAGATTTGGGGGGGCGGAGCCTGGGGAGGGCAGGGTTTGGGGAGGGACTTCGATGGGGTATAATGCCATAGGGGCCACCTGCCAAAGCGGCCATTTTCTCCAGGTAAACTGATCTCTGTCGCCTGGAGATCGGTGGTAATCCCAGGAGATCTCCACGCAGCACCTGGAGGTTGGCACCCCTATTTGGAAGTGACACAGGTGTTTGCTGAAGATCTTTTCCGAGGTTTGTACTTTGTTTATAGAGGTCCACCTGGCAACATCTTTGTCATCTTCTAGGTGCTGACCACAGTCTGATGCTTGGGGAGTTTGTTCTGTCCCGGTGTTTTTTATTCTTTCGTTTTGTTTTTCTGCTGCTTTTAATGTGCTGCAGGCTGCCTTGGATGCTCACAGTGGGCACAGCAGAAAGGCAGCTTATGTTCTATGTTGTGCTGTTGTTGGAAGAGTATCAGGGACTTTTCTGTAGCAGCCCCAGGATGGTGGAACTCCCTCCCTAAGGAGGTTTCAGTCACTCCTTCTGCCTCCCACCCTTGAAGCACTAGGTAAAAAAAGATGTCATTTCAGAGTGCTTTTGATTAAAGAGGAACTAAAGAACAATGGGCTAAATTGAGCTAACAAGGCAGCACTCTCCTTTTTGCATACTTTCTAAAGCAGGGGTGTCAAACATGCGACCCAGGGGCCAGTTCAGGCCCCTGGAGGGCTTCTATCAGGCCCGCAGTGGAACTGGCTGTCTTCTGCTTCTGCTTCCACTTCTGCTGCTGCTGCATCATCGTAGGTTTGCAGCTTACAGATACACACTTGAACAGCAGACTCAAGACTGCAACAGCACAGACATTTTGATGCAATAATTCAGAGCAAGAGGTGTCAGTTATCAGACACTGTTAAATAAACAAAATATTGCAAGAGTGCTCATGTTTTTAAGCATGTTTTTATTTTAAGTTTTAAAAAAGCCCTTTGTGGTTGTGTTTATATCTCCGCTACCTGGCATTACATTTTATGACACACATGGCCTGGCCCAACAAGGTCTCATTTATGTCACAGCCGGCCCTCATAACAAATGAGCTCGACACCCCTGTTCTAAAGGTAAGTTTCCTTCTTTATAATTTATGAGATTACCAACCTTCAGGTGGCACCTGGAGATCTCCCGCTATTACAACTGATCTCCATAGAGTGGACTCTATGGAACGGTACCCTGCTGAGGTCCCTTCGCCTTCCAAACCCCACCCTCCCCAGGCTCCACCCCCAAAATCCCCAGGTATTTCCCAACCCAAAGCTGGCAACCCTAGTAATTGCAGCTGGTAATTTTCTTTACATTCTTATTCCTTCTCTAATCATATACATTTTCATCCTGCGTCAGCCACTTCGATAGCCAGTTGGATCGAAAAGCAGGAGGCGGTAGCTTAATGGAATGGCTGGAGGCAGGGCTATTTTGGGGCAGGAATAAGGAATGCACAGGAACGGAGTTCCGGCTGGCTCCCAAGTTGGCCACGCCCAGCAGGAACTCATTAGCATAATAGGCCACACCCAACAGCAGAAACTCATTAGGATTGGCTACATTAGGGGTGTGTGGCCTAACATGCAAAGGAGTTCCTGCAACAAAAAAAGCCCTGGGTCTTGACAACAAGCAAGGTAAACAGAATAAGAAGCAAAAGGTGGGTGTGGCTGGATGACCACACTTCTGGTAACACGGGAATGCGGCCTAATATGCTAATGAGTGGTGCAATCAGGGGTGTGGCCTAATATGCTAATGAGTTTCTTCTGCTGGGTGTGGCCTATTATGCTAATGAGTTCCTGCTGGACTTTTTCTACAAAAAAGCCCTGGTTATAGGAATTTTGTAAGAGTTAACCTTGGTTTCTCTGTATATGTTTTCTCCAACAGGTGTAAAGAGCTGAAATACCCCAAGGATCTTCCACAGATTTCCATCATTTTTATCTTTGTGAATGAGGCGCTGTCGGTCATCCTGCGTTCGGTCCACAGTGCGGTGAATCATACGCCCGCTCACCTCCTCAAGGAGATCATCCTCGTCGATGACGACAGCGATGAAGGTGAGTGAAGTCAACATTTTCCATGGGAAAGGATGGATGCCGGACAATGCTGCAGTATTTATCTGGTCACATGGGAGAATGCTGTGCAGCTAATGTCCCTTCTCACCCATCTCCATCATAGTGAGCCGCTAGAAATGAGACAGTGCCCTGATTCCCCAAACTGGCACCGCTGATGGACTTCCTGGTGCCCATTTGCGGCTTTGACAAAGCATCTGTTTCCCAAAGTGAAGAAGAAGAAGAGATTGGATTTATACCCCGCCCTTCACTACCCGAAGGAGTCTCAGAGCAGCTTACAAACACCTTTCCCTTCCCCTCCCCACAACAGACACCCTGTGAAGTAGGTGGGGCTGAGAGAGCTCTGACAGAAACAGCTCTTTTTCAAGAACAGCTGTGCCAGAACTATGGCTTGCCCAAGGTCATCCAGCAGCTGCAAGTGGAGGAGTGGGGAATCAAACCCGGTTCTCCCAGATTAGCGTCCGTGCACTTAACCACTACACCAGACTGGTTCTGATTCTTCTCCACTGAAGCAGGAGATGAGTGGCTTTGCAGCCTCTCTCAGCACTGTGAGATTGGACCCATCACTGTGCAACAAACATTTTGTGCTTTCTCAGTGTGGCCTTCATCTTGTGGTGACAAGCACTTCCTGTTCTCAGGAATTCCTAGGTTGGAGATCTCTAGGGTAACATCAGGGATGAATAATGAATGAATCCCCTTCCCTACCACTTGGTTTATGTCTGGCCTCTAATTATGATCTTTCTCTGCAAATGATTTGAAGGTTTTTTTTTAAAAGAGTTCTGAACTGGAATGTTATTTACTGGATTGGTATCTCACCTTTTTTATCATGGAATTTATCATGAAGAGAGCTGGGGTGGGGAATGTAGTGATCAGAGTGCCTAGTATTTGGCAGACGCAGGCTGGAATCCCTACTCTGCCATGGAAGCTTGCTGGATGACCTTGGAGCAGTCATACTCTTTCAGCCTAACCTACACTATCTTTATAAGCTGCCTTGGGCCCCAATTGTCAAGAAAGGGGGAGATAGGTGAACTGAATAAACAAGGCCCATTATGCAAACACATCTTACTGCAGTTTTTCAGAGCCGTAAGGCTTTAATCTTGACTTTGGATTCAGTGCGCACCTTACACACCATTCTTTTTCCTCTGGAGTATTTATTTTGCAGCCACAATTTAAAAACTGCACTTCTGTAAATCAGGGGGAACGATTTTCTAAATCGGGGGATGGCATCCAAAGTTTTTTAAAAAATTTACACAGTTGCCCTATCACAGCTGCTCAGTAGCAGCTAGCAAGCACATTCCATTTAAAACCTCGTGGTTCAGGTTTTGCATATGCATTTTAGTGTTAGTTCCTTGAATGAAAGGGAACAGAAAGGAAGGCAAAGGGGGGAAACCAGCGGTTGAAACTGACCAGACTTTTTCTGAAACTAACAAGCAGTTTTTCATACTGCAGAGCACTAGGGGATTCTCTGCTGTGTTATCTGCCACTTGGAAAAATGGGAAAGGGTCACATGATCTCATAATATGGGGGAACATGTTGAGTGTACAGAATGCACAGTAGAACCCACTGACACTGGCACTGCAAGCAGTGATCATTGGCAACGTGTGTGTGCGTGCACATGGGCACCTGTGCAAAGTTGGCTGCAACTCCTCCATGCTTTGCAGAGGGCTGCAGTTTGTATGGCAGAGGAGTCCTCTGGCAGAAGTTCTGGAGAGCTTTTTTAGTCTTGTGCCACTAAACAGAAAGAAATGGGGGGGTATATTCGCCGATGCCCTGGCGCAGTTGCACAGTAATGCTAATTTCCTGCCCTTCATTGCAAATTTGCATGGTTTTCTCTTTGTGATTCTCTAATTTGATCCTTCACACTGATCATGATCTTGGCAGTTTTTAAAACCTGTCCTGTGCGGATTGCGCTCTTTCTTCAATTACCTCCAGCTTGGAAGCGAAACAAGGGGAAAATCAGCACAAAAGCACTCTCAGAAAACCCAGGGAAACAGTGACCAGAAAGTGAACTGAACATTGAAGGTCGGAAAATCAATGCAGAATGACAAAGAAAACCCAACAGTGAACCTGTGCATGACAGGCCCATGGAAGCATTAATGAGGTTCCCTGGCAGTCTCCCTTCCAGGCATCGACCAAACCAAGACCTGCTTAGCTACTGGTATCATGCACTTTCCAACTGCATCTTGGGACCAATGTTTTAGCGCCCGCTCTTGCAGTACTGCTTCAGATTCCCAGCAGGAGGTTCCCCAGAGAGATTCTGTTGTATGGTACTTCCAGGAGTGTGATAAGTGTGCTGAACTGCAAATGGACCGCTGTTCTATAAATCAGGCTGGCATTTAAAGAACCTCAAGGCAATTTCAGCAACCGGGAGCGACAGTCTCACTAAAACTGAGCAAAGGGTTAAGCTAACTCAGTTCCAAGTATGTGTCAACAGTGGCTGCCTCCCCTACGCTGCCTGGTCTGAGGAACTGAATGCCAACTGCATGGCATTAAAGTGGGCCATTCACTTGAAAGGCATCTTTTTATCAGTTGCAAACAGAATATGTCAAAGCCTTTATTAATAGACCAGCACAAGTCTTAGCAAGATTTTCAAACACCACAGCGAATAAGACAAAACTTAAAATTAGCTCCCACACATCATAATTCAAAGGGAAGTACAAACAGAATATGTGTTTTCAGAGCACAGGAGCCAGACTTGTAGTTAAAATGAGAATTGTCGCCAGGGGATATTTGCATAGCAAGCCCCTTATTTGCAAATGTAGCCCTCGTTGCTGGCTCAAACTACCTCCAAGTTGTTTACAAGACATTTCCCGGATGTCAGTGGCCCTCAAAAGAATGCTGCTGACAACTTGGGATCGGAACCCGTAAACCCAGCAAAACCGTAAATTGCAACCACCCACCCAAGTGCACCTATCAGACTGCACACATGCAAATGTACTTAAAATACTGCTCGATTTTACATTGCAAGCCGTAGCAATTTGATTGTGTGGGGCACTTGGTTCTAAAGAAAATGGCCAGGGTGATTGCAGTAAGGTGGAATTTTGAATGCCTTATTTGTGGAAATTCTATCATCATTCATTTTGGTCTAACCAGACTGTGAACCAGTGTATGTACAAGACTTGAAACAACTGTGCTTTATGGGGAACTTAAGGCAAGCATAAATTCTTGTCAGATCTGACCTGAAAATCTTGCTAGGAAAAGGGAAGAAGGAAGTCAAAGAGATTTGCAAAAAAGGGTCCTTAGAGAAGATATTGGATTTATACCCCACGCTTCACTTCCGAAAGGAGTCTCAGAGTGGCTTACAATCTCTCCTCTCTCAAGGACTGCCCTTGAGAGAACAGCTCTGAAAGAACTTGTAACTGACTCAAGGTCACACCAGCAGCTGCATGTGGAGGAGTGGGGAATCAAACCCGGTTCTCCCAGATTAGAGTCTGCACTCCTAACCACTACACCAAACTGGCAAGGCCAGTGGGTGAGATGGATGGCCAGTCCAGTTGGGTTTATTTCTTGACAAAACACTAGGAGGGAAAGAGAACTGCAGCGATGGTTCTATGTAGGTCAGCTGCTGGTAGAAGTGCAGTTGGAACAACTGCAGAAGGAGATGGGAGATTAATCCTCCCCATTAACTCGTGGTGCATAGCGCCTTCTCCAGATAACACAGAACACAAAGTTACATTTCAGTCAGGCCCCCAGATTTGAATAGCTTTCCCAAACCAGGACGGGATTGCAATATGACCTCCCCATTCAAAACCCATTAGCATCCCTAGTTTTGTTAGATTGCCTACAGCAAGCAATCTCCAAGTGTCGCTTGCAATCCTGGCGTATGTTTGAATCTCTTGCCGAAGTCGCTCCCATCTTGCTTGAGAAAGTAATGCTTTCACCATGAATATTACAGAGTCCTCTTTTCCCCCATTTGGCAAAAAGCCTTCTGTCGTAGACAGGAAAGCCCTCAAGGATTTGTTAAAAAGATACTTCAGACACCGACCTCGGCTCATTAAGGCGCAGGGCTGTATGTACTTCCCCCCTCCATGTAACAATATTAGCTGTGATTGAAGATGCTCATTATTGTCTTTTCATCGTTCACGTCAACAACTGCCGTGCTTGTTGATCGTCGTCAGACAAAGGCAGGAGAGAGTACCAGTTTTTCAAAGACATGTGCAGGTCACAGGCTTCTTGCTTCTTGCTTCGTTTGAGCTTTGAAGTGCTCCAGGCCAAACTCAGTGAGCCTAGGGTAACCCTCTTTGTCGTGCATGTGTCATGCTCATTCGTGGCTAACGTGGGTGACGGGGAAGAGGGGGAAATGTGGGGGGTTTACTTCAATAGAAGTGCTCAGGTGAGGGGACTCGAGTCCTCCTCTCTTTTTGGTTGTAGTGGTTAGACGCACGGACTCTAATCTGGGAGAACCGGGTTTGATTCCTGTTGTGTACCCGGAGAAACTGCGCACACGGTCGGGTCCGCACGTGGCCATGCGAACGGCCCAAGCTTCGCTTCCAGAGACAATACCCCGAATGGATCCTAGGGCATGCCTATCAAACGGCTAGGATCCGAGAATGGACCTATGGGACTTGGGTGCACTGTAAATATCCTATCACGGGTGTGGATGTGGGTGTTGGGTGTGGTTTACGATGGGGATATAAGCCGGCCTCCGGCCGGGCTACATCATCTCAAGTTCTCCTGTATATAATAAAGTATGAGCTGAAATCACTCCTCCACGCATCAGTCTCAGTACTTTATAATTCCCCACTCTTCCAAATGAGAAGGGAGCACTCACTGGAGAAGACCCTGATGCTGGGAAAGATTGAAGGTCAAAGAAGACGGGGACGGCAAAGGATGAGATGGTTAGACAGTGTCATCGATGCAACGAACATGAAATTGAGCAAACTTCAGAGGACAGCGGAAGACAGGAGGGCCTGGCGGGATCTGGTCCATGGGGTCGCGAAGAGTCGGACTCGACTGTGTGACTGAACAACAACAACTCTTCCACA